TGGAAAATAACGTTTTCAAACCAGTGGCCGTGGGTCTGTCACTTGTCCAGAACAGTCACTTTGTGATTTAGTGGCACAAGGGGGATCTTGCCAGGGGTTTGGGAAGGTGTAAAGTGAGATGGAAATGATTATGGACTTAAAGGTGTTCTGCTGATGCAGCTCCTGGCTCTTCATTAACATCTTATATCTGAGAGAGCTGGGAACACAAATCCCTTGAGCCAGTAGCTGTGTATCCACCAGGACATTGAAGGTTGGAACCTGCACAGGCACAGGAGGGGCTGTGGGCAGCATTCCCTGTGGCTGTGGGATGGAGGGGCCCGACTTCAGTGCCCAGTGTGAGCTGGCAGCCCCTGGAGCTGCTCCTGGCCCTGGCTGCCCTGGCTGGCACAGCAGACTCCGTGTTTGTGGCAGGGCAGTGTTTGCACTGACCGGGAACTCTGTGAGTGCTTCTGTCCTTTCTAAAGCTGAGTTCAGGTTTGTCACACCTGGGCCCGTGCAATCCCAGAATCCCAGACTGGTTTGGGTGGGAAGGCAGCCCACCCAGTGCCACCCCTGACATGACAGGGACACCTCCACTGTCCCAGGGTGTCCCAGTGTCCAGCCTGGCCTGGGGCACTGCCAGGGATCCAGGGTGGGCACCCAGTGCCAGGGCCTGCCCACCCTCACAGGGAACAATTCCCAATTCCCAATCTCCCAGCCAGCCCTGCCCTCTGGCAGTGGGAGCCATTCCCTGGCTCCTGCCAGGGAACAATTCCCAATTCCCAATCTCCCACCCAGCCCTGCCCTCTGGCAGTGGGAGCCATTCCCTGGCTCCTGGCCCTCCATCCTTGTCCCCAGTCCCTCTGCAGCTCTCCTGGAGCCCCTCCAGGCCCTGCCAGGGGCTCTGAGCTCTGCCTGGATCCTTCTCCTCTCCAGGTGAGCCCCCCCCAGCTCTGCCTGGATCCTTCTCCTCTCCAGGTGAGCCCCCCCAGCTCTNATCCTTCTCCTCTCCAGGTGAGCCCCCCCAGCTCTGCCTGGATCCTTCTCCTCTCCAGGTGAGCCCCCCCAGCTCTCCCAGCCTGGCTCCAGCCCTGCAGCAGCTCTGGGGGCTCCTCTGGGCTCTCTGCAGCAGCTCCAGGTCCTTGTGCTGCTGGAATCCCCAGGGCTGGGGCAGCTCTGCAGGTGGGCTCACCTGGACACAGGGACAGAACCCCCCTGTCCTGGTACCACACTGGGGGTTCAGGGCATTGGAAATTTGGGGCTCTGGTGTCCAGCCTCACCCACCAACACCCCCAGGCTGCTCTAAGCAGCAGGGGGAGGACTGGGAATGGGAAGGAAATGCAGAAGTGAGCTGGGAGCCCTGAGGATCTGCCTGCTGTGAGCTGTGCTGAAGGGTAGCAAACATTTCCCTATCCTACTTGGAACATCTGGAGTTTGTAAGGGTTTTGTAAGCCTGGCCCACTCTCTTCCAGGTTTTCCCCTGAATTCCAGCTTGCCCTGCTGAAGGTGATAAATATCTCACAGTTAATGAGGGAGTAATTTCATGCTCATCTTTAATTCATGAGCTCTTTCATTATCCTCCCGTGATGACGAGATGTCTGTTCTCCAGCCAGTCAGGTTTGTTACCCTCTTCAGCCCTTTCCTGAAGTGAATTTTCCTGGAAACCTCCCCAAATCTGTTTCCTGGGAAGCTTTTGTGTTTCTGCTGTTTGTTGTCAACAGCCTGACTGGACAGACACTACAGCCATGCAGGAGTTTCCTTTTGCCAGTCTGTTGAAACTCCTCTGGAGGTGTTTCCAGGGAAATGGATTGTTATTTATAACAACCTTTCTGTTCTGAAGGCTGAACTGGTATTATATTGGAATGGGAGCTGAGTATAACATGGGATTAGGGATTTATTTTATCCCCAGATACTGCAGTTGGCTAAATCCCTCTCAGTGCAGAGAAGAGTTAATTTCTTTGGCTGGGTTAATAATTTACTTTATCTTAACATATAAAAAGTGGCTCTCAAACATTCTCCTGCATCTGGGCACAGCCCAGAAGTAACTGTCACCATATAAAATATTTCATTTACATGTTAGGTGTTCATTTGTTTGGTTGTGTTACTAGGGACACGACGTGGCAGCAAACAGCTCCCCAAAATGCTGAGAGAAATGCAGGGCTGGGTGGATGTGGAGCAGTTTTGTTTGATTGATCTTGGCAATCAATCATTGAGCAGGTTTGTATTTCCAGTCACATTTGTGTGATAGTTCTGCATTGATTCATAAGTGTAATCTCACGTGAGGGATGCAGCAGTGCTGGGCTCCCTGGAGAACAAAGAGCTCTGCCCTGGGGTGGGTGGGAGGTCCCAGGATTAATTCCCAGCCTTGCCCTCAAGTCACTGCAGGCCTTTAAATCCCTGAATTCTTCAGGTCAGAAAAGCACTCCAGGATCATCAAATCCCAGCCCGGAGCTCTGAGTGCCACATCCAGGAATTCCTGGGACACCTCCAGGGATGTCCTCCCAGTGCCCAGCCCAGAACTGGGAATTTCTGGGCTCAGGAAGTTCTGTGTGCTGGGTCTTGGCTAAAAGGAGTTCAAGGCAGAGCTCCCATGCAAACTTCTTATGTAATGGTGCATTTCATAAATTCTGTTCAATCTTGTTTGGTATAAAGTGACCTTGTAGATTTGGGAGGGAAGTTTGGGATTGCAGCTGCTGCCTTTTAAAAAGTCTAAATATAAACAGGTTTTTGGAAAGCATGAGGAATGATCAGTGGCATTCTCTGATTGGAATCGAAAGCCAGGATGGTGGCATCTAATTAATGTCAGAGCAGTTTGAGGG